GGGAAAATGATTTATTTTGACTTCCATCTTTTGTGGTTGTGCTTTCCGAAGAAGTTAGAATTAAAGATGAGAATGCCTCGTGACCCTAATTACAATAACTGCAGTAATTTTAAGACCATTTTCACAGAGTTGACGTAAAGGAAAACTCGGGCTACACCAATATAAAAAGAACTGAGTACAAAAGAACCAATATAAGAAGAGCCTAAATTCAGTCAATGGCATGCCAACCATGAGAGAATTCTGGGTTTGCCTTTGTTTTTCTCTGACAGGAGAATATAGAATTTGGATTCTGTGTTTACTCCCTACTAGGAATGGGCTATGTAAATATTAATTGTTAGTTGTAAAAAGTGCAATTGAAGAGAAAGCAAACGACAAAATTAATATCATTAAGCAAAAATCTAACGTTGCTTTTTTGTGCTCCACTATGCTTACCCATTGCTATCATTTCATGATCACAGATCACTTAAGAGAATCTTAAAATGTTGGCTAAATTAAACTGAATATACCTTTTCTACTTTGCTCACTAAGGGGTCGTTAAAGGGGGAAAAAATGGGAAATGAAGTTCTAATGTATAAATATCTTTCACCAGATATCACTCACCAGACTTCTGGGATTAAGGCTATGTTTATTTAAACCTCAGTCAAATTGGTCCTTTTCATAAACTGATAGTTAAAAAAATGGATTTCTCTTAGTGTTTCCACGGGTCATTCACCAAACATTAGCACCATCAGGAGTTACTGATCCCTTGGGAACAGCAGGTTAATTACACAGAAATTTAAAACTGAGAGTAGTGGTATAAGTACAAATGTAGAACCTGTTGTCTTTCAGTGGTTTATTAAATTTAATACATCAGATGGTCTTTTTTGCTTATGTAGATTTTAATTACTAAGTAGGTCTGGTAAAATATGAATTATTGTATTATCACAAGTGATAAAATATATAGTTATGAGCATTACAGTCTGCAGGTGTAACATACATAAAGCAAGATTAATAATATCATTTAAGCAATTAAACTGAAGCTCTCTTTAAGGGGGAAAGAAAAGTGTATTGCTACCCTTAAGTATAACGTAAACTCACAAAATATTTTTAACTATAATAAAATGATGTCAGTTTTAGGAGTGACTTATTGTAAGACCTCATTTCTTAGAGTAAGTTTTCCTTTCTAAGAATATAAAAGCTTACTGAAATAATTTCTATTACTAGCTCATCCCATAAAGAACTGAATTTTTCCTTGCCTTTTAGACTCAATGAAAATAGACCAAAATAGAACAGGAAATTTCGTGGGTGGTGAATATATGCATGAACTAAATTCGATTGGGATTAAAATGATTAAATTGTTGATAAGGTCACTGATGGTCCCAAAGCGTTCCACTAGTCATATGGTACCTCTAAACTACTTTGAAAATTTGACCTTGTTTTCTCATAATTGCAAAAAATATATGGTAAACTGCATTTTGCTTTAATTTAGTATTCTTGCATGTACCACTTAAGTCTTCTTTAAAAGAAACATGCTAGGCATCTAATAATAAATTTTTTTTCCTTATGTGTTTCTGGGGTTTGTTCCACTTCCTGAATTATTTTTGTGCTGCCTCTAACAAGACCAATGCCTGTACTTGCAATTTAGCTCTACCTTTGCTTCCTTAGCATGACAGGTGGCTTTACAGTGAGATTAACACGATCTTGGTAAACACATAGAGACCTAGCAAAGGCATAGAGCTCGTTACAAAGAACATTTTGGTGTTTTCTCTCTCTCTCTCTCTCTCCTCTCTCTCTCTTTCTCTCTCTCTCTCTCTCTCTCTCTCACACACACACACACACACACACACACACACTCACACAATGTGGTCCTTACCCTGCAAATGTTTAGCAATATATTCAGCAAGGTGAAACTTCAAAAATAAAGCAATGCAAGACATTTATTAAGCGACACATCATAGATTATATGTTAAATATAAAAGTGCTGAAGACTTACATTCTGTGTAGTTTGGAAGATACGTTTTATACAATGTAGGTAACTAGATATTTGCATTTCAGTCTCCTAATGGTGCTGCAGTGGAGTTTGCTGTGTGTTATATATCTGCAGGACCAATTTTTGAAGCTAAATTAACACAATCAGCCTAATCAAAAGGTTGCAAGAGTAGTTTGAGCAATAATGGGGCACTGTGTTATAGAAATAATAGAATATAAATTATTTCTTAATAATAGTCTAATTTCTTTCTTTTTTCTTTTTTTGGTCATGTAGCACTATCTGTGATGAAACCAAAGGTATAATTGTCCAAAAGAAAATAATAATTTGAGCTGTAAAGATTAGAGGTCATGTTGTAATCTCATCTGTGCTATGGATTAACCTTCATCAGTTTTGTCCTTTTTTTGTTAATGCTACAGCAAGATAGATGTCAGCTTTTCAAAAGTCATTTTGCTTTGATTAGAAGACAAGGAAAATATACAGAAAATGTTCCCCCTACATCTTGTTCTGAAGCAACACCCTTCAGAATACAATAGCAGTAGTTACAAGGTGGCCTTTTTTAAATAAGGAAAGCATTAAGGTGACCCTCAAGAGTAAAAGGGTCAAGTTCATATCTCTTTTACAGATTTGATGCATGAATTTTACACTGGCATCCAAACTTAAACTAGGAGGAATCAGTTAAATATCAATTTTCCATTTTGAAACTGCCAAAATTTGCCTATCCATTAATTAGCTAAGCTAATTCTTTTTTAAATTTTAGTTATTTATTCTTCAGTTTTTAAAGGCATACTTGACAAATAAAACTATAAGATATTTGAAGTGTACATTGTGATGATTTCATGTATGTATACATTGTAGAAGGGTTCTCCCCATCTAGTTAATTAACAGTTTGGTCAACTCACATATTTATATTTTTCTAATGAGAATCTTTAAATTCTGCTCTTTTATAAATTTCAATTATACAATATAGTGTTAGCTGCTATAGTCACATTGTTGTACTGTACATTCTCATCCATTTTTTTTAACTGACAGATTTTCATCCAGTTCCACATTCTAAATGTTTGAGACTTTTAAGAATGCAGGTATTTCTGATATATATCCATATGTATACAGAGAAAAATAGGTAGATCTGATAGCTAGCCACATTTTTTTTTTAATTCTTTAAACAGGTACCCAAAATTGTCTACTGTGGGTACTGTTTGATTTGCCCACTCTCCAGTTCCCCTGGTACACTTTGCAAAACCAGTTCTTTGTAACTAAAAAGAGCAACCTATTTAATTTAGATATATTTTTGTACTTCTTATGAGAGTAAATATTAGTCCTTGCAATTTGTAAGAATTAGAAATATACAGGGAAGTAATGGCTTTGTTCTAAACCATATAAATATAGGCATATTAACAAAAAAAATTTGTTTCAGTCATCCCTGTTATTAGCAGTGGAGTAAAAATCAAAAGATACAAATTGTAAATAACACTAACATTTTTAAATGTTACTTTTTTTCCTGAAAATTGAATAATATCACAGATGTATTTGAAAATGAAATGTAATTATTCTGTTGATCATTATGATAACATGCCTAAAAATACTTAAGTATTTGATGATACGGTTCCTAATAAACTGTGACATATATGTGGTTAGGCACTATTTTGCCATAGCTTTGATTTCCTGATACGCACTGAAAGCATTTGAATTTGGTTTTTTTTTTTTTGGTTTTACTTTAACCCCACAGATGATTCTATTTAGTGCCTAATTTTACAAAGAAGTAATACCTTTTAAATTTTAAAGAATTTCATCTGTAGTGTACTATATAGTAGTGCTAGAAATTTGGAATTTTCAATTCTTTACACTCTGCCAGAATGACATGGAACTATAAATGCAGTTCCTAGAGAAGGCTTGTATATGGAAATGTAGCCGTTACATAAAGTTAAAAATAAATGGACAGCAACATAATAAAGTGAATTATTTTAATTTTCATGTAAGAATTAGATGAAAATAACTTAATATTTATTGAAAGTCTAAAGTATTACTATTTATGATATATAGATATATAGAGACCTTTTTTCATGTTCTTATTCAAAGAATTCTTGTGTCTCCTCTGTGGCATAGATGTATCCATTTTCCTGGCAAAACTGTTTTTTGAAAAATGCCCTTAAAAGGATAACCTCACTAATAAAAGTATACATCAATTCTAAAGTTAAAAATTGAGTGGCTCATGCTCAGCGAAATAAGCCAAAAAGAAAAAGAAAAATACCGGATGGTCTCACTCATAGCAGGAATCTAGAAAACTTAAATAAGGGACCAGGAAAATGAATAACTATAAGAAAGTGAAAATCAAAATCAACAAAAAACTATGAACCAGAGACACTTTTAGGGGGCAGGGGTGGGAGGGGAGGGATTGGGTCAGAATGGGGGGCTGCAATTGTATGGGGAATATAACAATAAAATTTATTAAAAAAAAAAAAATTGAGTGGCAATGTATATTTCATTTGAAATAACTGTCTGTTCTTGATTTTTAAAATGTTTATCCCCAATTCTAATTTTAAATTAAATATTTTAAATAGGAATGAAATATAAAAATGCAGTTTTCTGTTCAACTGTAGTAATTTGTCATGTAACCATTTACCAAAGTCCGGTTAACAACAACCAAAAATCAGGGAGTGATTATGTAATTTTGGAAAAGCATGTTTTCCTCCATAAAATGCATTATCTTACCTATGAGGCAACTATCAAACCACTATACATTCTTTTTTTTTTTGTCTCTTTAAGATGTGTGATTTCTATTAAATATGAAAGATTTCCATCCTTTTCAAGTATTCTACTTGTGTTTTATGCATGTAAAATTGTTTAATAATTCTAACCTAATTATAAAATTTATTTGAAAGTTTAAAACTTGGATTTTGTTGTGTATTTTCAATATATTTGCTCAGTGTGATCAGTTTTAAAATTTCCGGCTTTTTCCACGTTACAGGAGAAAATGATTCCTCTTTATATAACTCTCAAAAGTACCATTTTCTGCATTTTTTTTCCCCTCCAGACGGTGGGTCCGGCTGCTGTTTGGCCGAGAGTTCCCCCTGCAGGATCTCCTGGTGGTCTGGGATGCCTTGTTTGCAGATGGCCTCAGCCTGAGTTTAGTGGATTATATTTTCATAGCCATGTTACTCTATATCCGAGATGCTTGTAAGTATTAATGACCCTGCCTACATTCAAGGAGGTGGTTCTAATTTTTTTAATGTGTTTTATCTTCAAATATACTTTTTTTTTTAATTCTGATTTACACATACTACACTTTTATAGTAAGCAATATATTGAAGTTTTAAAGGAATACCCTTAGCATCTCTTTTGTCAGTGAACCATGTACATTTTGGGAGATGTGGGTGATTTTATTCTGAGTGAATTGGAATATTCTTCAGAACCATTTTTCTAAAGACTTTACTCCTGCTTTAATCTCCTCATTACGCTCACTTGTGAAACACACATATAAAAAGCCAGTATTTCAGATATGTTTAGAGCTCCACCTTCTGACAGGTAGGGAGTATTCAAGGATATTTATTATGAGATTGAAACTACTTTTATAGAATCATAACTTGCCAATAAAAATTGAATATTATGTTTAAAGATATTTTAATTTCTCAAATATAGGAAAATTTTTTCTCAGTATAGTGCCAAGTGGTAGACATATCCCCATCAGATCTACCTTAAGGTGCTAGAAAGCCAGTGTTTATCTCTTTTGAATAATCCTCAGTTTAAAGAAAATATCAGAGCATGTTTTAAATTTCAAAATAACTCAAGTTGTTTTCCTTTTCAGAAAAATAATCACAGTTCACAAAACAAGATTTGTAAGCCAGAATATAATTAGGAAAGATTGCACAAAGTAATGACTAAATAGGAAATAAAAAGCTGTCATAAGAATAGGACTTTGTCAGAAGAACATAAACTATTTGGAATCATTCATAATCTTGACTGTTAAATTGTTATGTAGTTCTCTTTATTTGTTCATTGAATACCAGTTGTGCCAGATGCTCTTGTTATGCCTCTAGTAACACTAATAATATTCTTTAAAATTTTAGACTAGACTTTCTTAATTCCCCCCAAATTACTTGAATGAATGTGACAAGAGCATCACATTTTATCAAAAAAAAATTGTGGTTTTTTTTTTTTTTTCTGTGCCTTTAAGGTCAAATAGTTTGGATTTTGACAGACAGTGAAAAGTTCTTTCTTCTGAGTCAGAGCTAATCATATATGAACATGGAAATCGTGGGAAACATCTGGAAAGTGGGAAAGGCTATTTGGGTAGATTTGATGGATAATACATGTTTGGATATTCAGTACTAATCTCCCATTGTAAAGTTGTGTGTGTATTTTTTTAATGTAAGTAATAAAAGACAAAAAGAACCTTTTTTATTAAAATGAAGACTATGGATAATATTTTTATGAAATTTCCCAAATTATTGAAATGTATTCTGATTTTCTGTGGTCTTAAACAATTGTTTGTTCTTAACTTTGGTGCATCACAGCTCTGTTTTAATTTAATCATCCTGTCTCCTATGCTAAAATCTACTTTTTAAAGCCCTTACACATTTTAATCCCTCCACTTATGACTTTATAAAACATATAGGCACATGTGGGAAAATGCAGGGGAAGTGAAGTTGTTTACTCATTTCTCTGTTTAGCCCAACTTAATATTCTTGGTTAAATCTATCACAGTGGATGAGATCTTTAAAAAAATAATAGGGTGACTATTAGATATATAAGGGATACTGCACCTCTCTTCAAGAAGCTTACCAACTGTAAAGAAAGATTGACACAATTTCAAGCTAACACATTAGTTGCTAATATTAAGATAGTACAAAAGATTAAAGGAGAGGTACTGAGCTCCCCTCTGAATCAGCTGTGAGTGACTAGAAAAAATGGTGGCTGTGCCAGTAATTGAGTAAGGGGATCTGCATTCTAGGCAGAAGTAACAGAGTAATAGCATGAACAAAGACTTGGAAGTGAGAAGCTTTAATGAGTGTGAGTGTGTGAGTGTGTGTGTGTGTGTGTGTGTGTTTCTGTTCCTACCAACTGTTTTTTTATTATTATTAGAGTTCAAAGGGTAGAGGAAGCTCTCAGGTTATCAGGTTATAAGACTGAAAAAGTAAGCAGGAATGAAATGGTGATGAATGCCATTGACCTGTAATCCATCAGGAGTTATTGAAAGAAAGATTCAAAGAAGTATGGTCAGTTTTAGATCACTCTGGCAGCAGTAGGGAAGGTAGACTTAAAGGAGACAAAACTAGAGCTAGGAAATCAGATAAAAGATTATGACCACAGTCCAGGAGGGGAAATGATGGATTAGGTGAATCTTCAAAGTGAAAGTCAGCATGTCTTAGTTGTTAAATATGATGGGTGGGACAGAACTGGAAGTCTAAAATCATCCCCACCTTGGATGGTTGAGTAACTGGGTAATATATACACTTAGGGAATAAATAAGGGTTAACAAATTTTAGGAATGTAAATGATTGACTTTGCCCATGCTAAATTAGAGATACCTGTAAGAAATGATAACCTGAAAATTTAGAAAAATAAAGCTCAATGTCAGTGTCAAGGCAATAGGTTGAAAATTGTTAAAAGGTGTGTGTTGAAGTAGTAACAACAATGTGATCTCTTCAGAATAGGGTGACCATATAGCCAACTTGTTCAGGACACCTTGGTTTACACCTGCTCTTCAGAGTAGTAATTATTAATACTACCCTCTTTCATTCTCAAAGGCATCCCATTCCTATAACAATAATATGAACAGCCTGCCTCAGGTGAGTGCATATAGAAAGAGCATGGGCAAAGACAGAACTCTGTGTGTAACGTCAATGTTTAGGAGCACTGGAGGACACCCAATGGTGAACTTGTGCTGTAACTTCATAAAATTTGTTATCTGAGCCCAGGGAGGAAAAAGATGGTCAGCAGTGAAGAAGTACAGTAAGATGGGCTGGGAAAGCTCGCTCAGGCTGGACACTGTGGAGGGACAGTCATCAGACACCTTTGCCAGATGGATTTAAGGGAGTGGTGGAGCAGAAGCTGCATTATGGCAGGTTGAAGAGTGAGGAAACAGTTAAGTTCCATAACAGTCATCTTTTTTACAGGTGGTGGTGGTGGTTTTATGTTTGCATTACATTGTTAACTGAAAAGTTGACTAAATAAGAAAGAATGTGCAGACAGAATGTGTAGAGTAACCTTTAAAGTAAGTCAGCAGAAAAGGGAAGGCAGTGGATGTAGCTAGAGGTCAGTGCCCTGCACAGAGGTTGGATGGCTCCGTAGCATAAGACCAGGGCATGATGGGGCCAGGAAGAACGGATGAAGAGGTTGTTCACTTCTCAGACCAATCTAAGTTTCCCCTCCAAGGATCAGCACTTGGTTTTCCCCACTGGCCTATGGATGAGGTCTATGAAGAGATAGGTTATCTTCTTTGTTTTAAAGCTAATACTTGTTTGTTGCAGGTTCTTCAAACCCAATCCCACCCACCCACTAGGAGTGAGAGAATTTTGTCTGTCTTGGTTCCCCTACTGCATTCCAGCATGTGCAACAGGACCTGTGCTGTTTCCTGAAAAACATGGGTAGAGTGAAATAATTGAAGAGATGGAGGCTCTGAGGCAATAAAACAAGTCAGGAGTCCCTTGGAAGACTGGAACAGGAGTGAGAAACTGGTGTTTCTCCTGGAAAGAGGCAGGAGGCACTAGGCAGATTCAGAGATGGACCATTTTTGTCAGAGAAGACGGAAAGTAGAGGAGCTCTGTGTCTGATAAAGGCAGAAAGCAAAGTCGTGTGCTGTGAAAGAGGCAGGGCAGCGTTGGGGATTTGACGGGAATATCAGGGAGACATGGGAAAAATGACTGACTAAAGACTAGACAAGCCAGGTGCAGATGTGGAAAGTTCTACAAACAATGGGTAGCAGCACCAGACCTCTAATTTACAATGTATAGACCTTTTACTTGTCCTGTAAATTGTATTAATCTCTAATACCCTATAATCAAATTCATTTAACCAGAAGTCTCTCTAATGTCTACTGTCTCTTTGAATTTACTTTCTCTCTGGAAACTTTAAATGGAAATGTTTCCTTCTTGGCACTTCTGTCCACTTCCGGCCTTGTTTGTATTTTTTGTTTTTGTTTTTTTTCAGTAGCACAACTATGTTACATTATTTTCCTTTCCTCATTCCTTGACCTGCTCTGACATGGTTGTTGTGTCTTCTTCATGACTGTTATAGATCATGACTAATTTGGCCTAAGACCTTGATTGCAGCTTCTTTCAAAGCCACGCTGCACTGACTGTGCACCAAGTCTGGTGTGTGGTGGACAGTTTCCCTCCATGTAACCTATCAGGGAAGACTTTTGTATTAGTCAGTATTCTCCAAAGAAATAGAAGCAAAGGAAATATGTAGAAATACATATGAGGATCTTTATTATAAGAATTGACTCACATGGTTACGAAGGCCAAGAAGACCCACAATCTGCTCTCTGCTGAGTCCGGAACCAGGGAAGCCAATGGGATAATTCAACCCAAGTCTGAACACCTAAGAACTAGGGGAGCCAAAGGTGTGAGTCCCAGAGTCCAAAGACCTAAGAACCAGGAGCTCCAATGTCCAAGAACAGAAGAAAATAAATACCTTAGCTTAAAGCAGAGAGAAAATTTACCCTTCGTTTCTCTTTGACCCCTACAGGTCGATAGCACCCGCCCACAATGGAGAGGGCATCTCTTCACTTAGTCTACCAAGTCAAACACGAATCTCTTTCAAAAACTTCCTCACAAATACACCAGAAATAATGTTTCACCAGCTATTGGGGCATGTGTTAGGCCAGTCAAGTTGAAACATAAAATTAACCATCATGCTTTTGTAATTGCCTGTGGTCAGGCCCCTGAAATCATCCCCACTTGCCAGGGTGGCTCTGCCATTCTGCATCCCCACCAACAGTGAGTGAAAGTTCTTGTTGCTCTACATTTTCACCAGCATTTGGTGAATGGAGAATGGAAATAGTCTTGCAGGTGGACAGGGGTTGTTCTTCCTGATGATTAGAGAAATGGAGATGATGATCTCTGTCCCAGTGACTGATTAATTCCCCAAGTTTTCTCTCCTGAGTTGTCTCCCTACCTAGATTTCGTCTTCCCTTTCAATTCACCTGCCCAGCGGCTGAGTAGCAATGTCATTAA